AGTAAGAAAACCACTGATATTTAAACGTCAAAAATATTTCTGACAAAGATTGCAAAGCCTACTAAGATTTTTTCATTAAAAATTCATTCCAACTTTTGATCGACAACCCCGTTGTTGAACGGGCAGTGTTTGCTTTATTATTATTTTTCTCAAAAATTAGTCGTTTTTGGAAAAATTTTAGAGAGACAAAAAAGTTTTAGGATACTTTCATCTACCTATGTAATTTTTTTTTAATGTATTTACCCGCTGCATAAAAAAATTGTAGCAAAAATGTAAAGGGGGTGGTTACGTTTAGTAGTTTAGAAGGATAGGTTGAAAGTCCAAATAGGGTGAAAACGCCCTACTACCAGTTTAACATATTCCCCAAATTTCGTTCTCTTAGCGTTTATGGTTTTTGAGAAAAAAAAATTAAACCAAAATTTTTCGCCATTTTTGAAGGGGTGTAGCTCCTTAGGGGAGTCCAAGTCGCCCATGGTTTATATATCAAAGTACCCTTAAAATTGCCTAAAGAATCACCCCCTGAAGTTTGGGCATGTCATTCAGATACACCCTGTATATAACTTTATTCAAAAATTAATTCGAAAAACAATAATAATAGTAAGAAAAACTGACATTTAAACGTCAAAAATACTAATTGGTCCAAAAAACTGTAACGACACAAAATGTATTTTTTTAAATGGAACACACTGTATATTTTTACATATTTGGATTTGTCTGTTTTCAAGGTTTATGAATAACTTTACTTTTTGCAATTTGATTAGGCCGTTTTCGAGTTATTCGAATTTTTCTAGAAAAATCTACTCCAGCAAACATTCAAAAAATCAGAGAACACTCGATTTTTGAGATATCAATTTAGGATTCAGAATATGCTTAAGCAACATGATGGAGTATGTTTTGGTGCCGAGAACAGCTGTCTAGAACGTGTGGTCACTTTACTATGGCACCTTAACTTTTCGAAATTTGGAAGTACCATAACTTCATTTTTTTAAATGGCACCCCCTATATTTTATTACTTAGTCGTCTTCGGTGTCTCATTTTACATCTTTTATATCCCATATGTCCTATACCTAACATTAATAGTTTGGGAGATAATTAGGATTTTTTGAAAAATGCACACATATCATATCGATATTTAACCTAGTGTGCCATGGGAAACACGCCTTCTCAATGAGTTCTTGTCAAAGTCTTACTTATTTACGTCACTTGATACATGTGAGCTAATAATTATCTGCAAGGTCCCTTAATATTAGTACTAAAAAGAGTTAAAATCGGTAACAGTAACGAAAATAGTATTTACACAAATCAAGAAATTCTTAATTTGTTTTTTATACATGAAAAGCGCGACAAAGTTCGTAGTATGATTCCCAGATCTTCTTTGGCAGCTCGAATTGAGGCGTTGGGACTGGGCTCGAAATAAGCCAAGGTACTCACCTTTTCCGCTGCATTATCTACTACATTTTTTGGTCAGTTTAACACGTGATTAATTCCTCCAAAATGCAATAGGACATAAAAGATGTAAAATAAGACGCCGAAGACGACTAAGCAATAAAAGTAGACGGCCGTTCTCGGCACCAAAACATACTTCATCATGTTGCTTAATCATGTTCTGAATCCTAAATTGATATCCCTAAAATCGAGTGTTTTCTGATTTTTTGAACAAATGTCTGCTGGAGCAGATTTTTCTAGAAAAATTCGAATAACTCGAGAACGGCAGTATCAAATTGCAAACAGTAAAGTTATTCATAAACCTTGAAAACAGACAAATGCAAATATGTCCAAATATTTTCCAGAAATACACTCATATATACAGTATGTCCCCGGATCGAGTTAGAAAGAGGAAATAAATTTGTATTACTGAATTTTCAAACTTATCTCAGCATAAATAATGCGTCGGATATGTTCGAAATACTAAATCGCACGAATTTTATACTCTAACTATAGAAGTTAACTACTATTAATGATTCCCATTTTTATGTAAAAATTTTTTCTAAACTAAAAATTTTGAAAGGTCAAATTATGATATGTAACCATAGAAGAGTGATGTAAATCCAAATTCTACACTCTCTAGACGAACATTTCAAAAAAGTAACCACGGGGTAATTGGGCCATATTTCTTCGTCAGAAATGTAAATCAACAGAAATATTTGGATATGTTACAAAATTATTTTAATGAACAACTTGATGAATTACCCTTAAATTTTATACGGTCAATGTACTTTCAGCGAGACGGTTGCCTAGCTCACCATCACACATTGTGACCGAATGGTCCTATTTTATGACCAGCACATAGTCCTGATCTTACAATTATGGATTTTTATTTTGGGGAACGATTGAAACAAATTGTTTACAGTGAACTATTACAGGGCGATGCAGAACTATTAAAACTAAGAATAATTAATGTGATAGAATCTCTACCACTGGCGGAAATTCGTAATTCTTTCAAAGAATTGAGAACTTGTCTTCAAATGTGTGCCAAATAGTTGATTTGTTCACTTACACACTTACATAGTGTGTTATTACATACATTTACATTTAAAATATTTTATTCAATTATTCAGCCATATTTTAATTTGATTTGTCCGTATATTTTTCACTAACATGAGTTGTAACTTTTATGGTTTCTATGGTTACATATCATAAATTGAACTTGAAAATTTTTCAATTTAGAAAAAAGTCCAATTTTTACATAAAAATGGGAATAATTAGTTAACTTCTATAGTTAAAGTATAAAATTCGTGCTATTTAGTGGTTTGAACATATCCGACGCATTATTTATGCTGAAATAAGTTTGAAAAATCAGTAATAAAATTTTTTTTCCTCTTTATAACTCGATTCGGGGACATACTGTATAGTACAAGTCTGCGTTTGAAAGAAATTCCTAACTTAATTGGTATACGAGCTATGGATGCCTGACGCACTGTTGCAGAACTCTGTATAATAGATATGGCGTGTTTAAACTCACTTTCTTTGATTGATGATGAACAAGTTTATGTAATAATGATAATGTGACTTGGTAGATGACTAATATTTGAGCTCTAAGATTCGCTAGTTGCCTGGCGGGTAATGCTCCACATGTCGTACATGGCTTTCAGGCAGCCAATGGCGACGGTGATTCTATTTCTATTCTACCTTTCTTCTCCACCTGTGAATATCCTGTGGTCTTGTGCAAAGGACCTCGTATTGTATTTCCAAATCTGCGTTACATTTATCGTCCAAACGCATCTAGATTTTACAACTTTTACAAATAAAAGCATACTGTAGCTTCCTGTGATTTTTAGAAAAAGTTATGAATAACTCTTCAAAAAACTATCCTCATGGTCGATGTAATCAATAAAATATTTACACATTATGTAATTATTTTTTTTTTCAGATGAGGAAAAAATTGGCTAAAATCGCACATAGAGCAATTAGTAAGAAAGTTGGTAAATATGGTCTTAAAGGTGAAGCTGATAGGTTTATTGGTACGAAGAAACCTAAACATTTATTCGCTGGAAAACGTGGAGTTGGTAAAACAGACAGAAGATAAAGAAAATAAAAGAATTGAAATAATAAGAAAAATTGTTAATTCTTTATTAATCATAATAATTTTTTAATTATTGTATTGAGTTTGAATTTTCAATAAAAATTAATACATATAAATATTGCCAAATCATTTAATATTTTTTCCAAATTAATAAATTATTATAAATCACGATGTTTGGATAAAAAGTAAAAGTAATAATAAATTAAAATAAGTCTAAATATTTCGATCCACACCTAACATTATAAAATTGATCACAAACTTGGAATTGTTCATTAAATAGCGTTCCATTGGTGCAAAGAAACGATGCGACGATTTTTTTCTTATCATTACACACGTGATAAGCCTAAAAATAATAATTTTTAATAAATAATTCTTTCAAATAACGTATATTTACTTGGCACACCGCTTCAATATCCGCATAATAACCAGCAGATCGAGATTCACACGAAAACGACGTTTTTGGCACTTTTCTTAATGTAGGGTATAAAGGTGGGTCATGTGGAAGATGTAAATCATGGTATCCATCGTACGGCATCTGACCAGGAATGATGTAATAACCAGAATAAGAACCTGAAATCACTGGAAAATAAAAAAGTTATGGATTAATTTTTAAATTGTATAAATGATTTATAAACGTTGATAGTGATCGATTGAGCTATTTTGTATCAAATTAGCTATTAATCTACTGACCTAGATATCTCTTACGAGAAAAAAGAAAACCTTCAATCAAATTAATACAGAAGGTATTTCTGTCTTTCCAATTCATGACCTAGCGCACTGTAAAAGTCCTTTCTTATTGGCGCCATCAGGTGATTTCGACATTTTTTTAATAGCTACTCTATTTTAGATTTAATTGGTATGACCTTTACACTGCCGAAAAGAAATCTAATTCGTCATGTTTAAATAATGTAGTTTTTTATTTGAAATAATTCGGTATATTTTTTTCGTTGTCTATAGTTTATAGACTAATTTATTGTTAACAATTTTTATTTATTATTCTATTTATGTAATTGATTTAACAATTTGTTATTAATTTTAGACAGTTTAGAATCGATTTTAGGTTATTTGGTTTTATGTTAATGGAATCCGAAATCATATCATATCGTTGTTCTTTTCTATACAAATCGGGAAGCATTGTATTCATCACAGTTCGTTATCGGTTTTTGTTTGACGAAAAGACGGCTTGCAAAGAAACTGCTTTAAAGAAAGTATGTTGTAACCGAATTATTTAATTCTCTTGAATTTTGATGTTATAAACAAATTCACTGAGAAAATTAATGAAATTATTAAGGTGGAATATGTAACTCTCAAATTTGATGCAACGTGAAAGGCGGAGGAATAAGGATATCTACGCATATCTTTAGTATAAAAAGTCATCATGGCGATGTTCAGAACTAAATTGACCGGAGTAATAAGTTCCACATGAACGATGACTAAAACCATGAAAATGGACATGGAACGTGACATCCATGTATTGATTTTTAAAATGCATACCGTCATAGACGAAATGTAAAGACTGAAGCACAACATCTTGAGAATCAGTAAAAAAATACTGTATTTCTCTAAATTTAAAAATACAAACACTGATGTCACAATTAGTGTCTGAGTCCAAAGACATCATGGCCTTCGTTACGAATTTTGTCCCGTTTTAACACCGAATCATGCTCTTACAAATACTGACTAACTCAAGGAAACTAAACATATTACAAATATATATCCATATAGCTGATATAAGAAATGAACTATTCTACGAAATAAGCGGACGCATAAATTATTAAATTCAAGAAATATCACTTATCACTCATCATACTTGGAGATTTTAATGCGAAGGTCAGTAGATGGAGATGTAAGAAGTATCACCCATGTACTGGTTTTGATTTTGGGTGAAACAGAAAGCAAGGAAAAAGCGAAGGAATAATATTACAAACAAAAATGTGAGGAGATTGAGGAGTTACAAGTAAAACATGATAACTTCTAGAGACAGAAAACAGTTCAATGTGTCGAACGACGACAATGGGAAAATTGTCAGAAATAAAACAAAAAAAAAAGATGAGAGGCAAGAAATTAACCTTCAAAATATAGAATTAGAAGGATACTAAACTTATGCGCGGATCTAATTAAAGACGAAGTGATATATGCACTGAATACGCTTAAGAATGGAAAAGCGACAGGTCCACACTACCTCTCAACGGAAATTCTTAAACTGACACCAAGAAAGCATCTTGACACTAGATAACTTGTACTGGAAACATAAAGCGGTGGTTCGAATCGATGAATGCTGCATTCAACGAGGAGTCAGAAGGGATGCATTCTGTCTCCGCTATTATTAATGGAGAACTGATTAATACTATTCGATATATCGACAACACGGTTATCTTATAAGACTTTAATTAATCTTATAAGACAACATCCGAGGCCGTCAAGAGTTGTTGGATTGTGTAAATGCGGAAGGATAAGAAATGGATCAGATAATCAGTCGCCTACCGCACGCCGATGCTTCGCTATAAATAGACCAACAAATCATTGAGAGAGGTACCCAATTCAGATGTCTTGGCTATATCACGGAATAACTAGATCCAGATAAAGAGATCAAGTGCAGAATTAAAACAGCTCGTACAACTTTTCTGGGAATAAAATCATTCTTCTGTAACGACAACTTAAACCTAAATTTGCTTCAAAGAATGATGATGTTGTTATATGGAGCTGAGATCTGGTCTCTAAATGCTGAAACTATTAATCACCTGGAAGTATTCGAGATGTAGTTGCATACAAGAATGCTACGAATACCCTGGACACTCATGGAGAGCAACAAATCAGTGTTAAATAGAGCAAATACCATTCGTGAATTATTGAAATAAATATTGTCATATTTTTACCGTTTTAAGATCAAAAACGCGCACACTGCGATACGCAGAAACACGCGTTTAGGGTATTATTGTTATAATTCCGAACTATTGGTCCTGTTTGAAATGACTAGGGCACTAGGTCACTAAATCGAACGGCTTCGTCCTCTGAAGGCGACGCAGGACATCCTCGTTGTCGAGAAGCTGTATGGCCTCGATGTTGGAATGATCGTGCATTCTCTTTTAATATTGAGATGCGAATGATGTAATTTAATTTTACTAGCCATCGTTTGATTCAGTTTAAGGCCAATTGTAACTTATTTGCTGCAATACTTCATTTTCTGCAACAGCCAAGATCGCTGTGTCATCTGCGAATGTAGCTGTTAAAGTTTCTGGTACCTGAGGAAGGTCGAATGTGTAGGGTAAGTACAGTGTTGGGTCAAGCACACTTCCTTGAGGAATTCCGGCTTGTATTTCGTGCAGTGGTGAACAAGCGTTTTCGTATTTTACTCTAAAATATCGATCAGAAAGATACGATTTTAATAGTTGACTATACGTTGATGATAGTATTTGGTCTAGTTTGTAATTTAAATCATCTAACCAGACTTTGTCGAAAGCTTGTGCAACATCCAAAAATACGGCGGAGCAGACTTTATTTTCTTCCATTGTTATTTCGATAGTATTCGTTATTCTATGCACTTGGTCTATTGCTGCATGTTTATTCCGAAACCCAAATTGGTGTGTTGGTATTAGGGCTTTTTCTTCTAAGACAGTTTTTAGTCTTTTTAATACTAATTTTTCAAGTAATTTTGATAGTAAGGGTAATAATGAGATTGGCCTATATGATGTAACATCTGTGGGGGGTTTACCAGGTTTTGGTATCATTATTATTTCAGCAACTTTCCATATACTTGGGAAGTATTTCTATTTAAGCAGTATTAAATTAATTATGTGTAATAGTTTTGTAACCACCCTTTTTGGTAGATATTTCAATGTTTCTCCATTTAATAATAATAATAATAAATAAAATTATTGCCATAATAAAAAAAATACAAGTTAAAGAAAATGTATACATTTAACTTAATGCATAAATACGGGCAAAAGGGTCTATTTATCGCGTAAGCGATATCTTCCAAAGGACCCAATCAATCAGCCGTATACTAAGTTTTATAAGCAAAAAAAAAAAATAAATGGCAAGCTGCTGTGCTAAACCTATGGTCACTAAAAACGGTGCATAATGATAGTTGCTAGATTAAAAGAAGAAGAAAAGGAAGAAGAAGTTCTCAGGAAGATACTTGGAGAGCAAAAAAATTACGTTTTAGATGTTTTTTAAATGTCACAAAGTGAGGAATATTACGGATCTCAGTAGGCAGACTATTCCAAAGGGTTATGGCCTGCACAGTAAACGATTTGTGGTAAATCTCTGTACTATGGGTCGGAAACATAAGCAGAGAATCTAACTAAGATCTAGTGGGTAAACCATGCGACGACCAGCTTTGAAATATACAGTACAGATACCCTGGTGTTTGATTGTGAAGAACAGTATATAACATAGTTAATATACGAAACGACCTACGGTTCTGACAGCTTAATATCTGTAAATAATTGTCTCCAGATCAAAGATATACCGTATACAGTTGTTTTGAAGTCTTTGCAGTTTGTTTCGAAGTGTTACCGAAACATCAGGATATGCCGTGTCAGCATAATCTATATGGGGAAAATCAGAGAAAAACAAAGATTACGACGGACCATGGAAGGAAGGAAGCAACGGAGATTTTGATAGAGCGAGTGGAAACAATGATAGACCTTTCTGCAGACGGACTGAATTTGAGTTTTCCAGGACATTGTAGAATCCATAACCACCCCAAGGTTTCTAACCGTGTCTGATAGCTGAATAATGTCTCCGTCAAGCATTAAGTGAATGGATGAAAAATCATTCAGCTTTGCCAGTAAAGATCGACTGCCAAACGCAATTGCTTGAGTTTTAGCAGTATTTAATTTAAGGTCATAATGTTTAGAACAATCCAAAATATTAGAAAGATCGTGATTAAGGCGTGCAATTGCTTCCGGAAAATCATCAATAGTTTCATCACTTTTCATCACAAGCAGACGATAGCACAGAATCAGCACGCACACACAAGGAACGACAGGAAATGTAAGATTGAAACCAAGATAAACATGAAGAGGTAAATCCAAGGGCAGTTAGTGACGCTAACAAGAGATCGTGATCAACCGAATAGAACGCTTTGCTGAAATCAAGTAGTACAAGAATGATAACACAACGTTTGTCGCAAGGATACCTAATATCATCTGTAATCTTAATAAGCGCTGTTGTCGTGCTATGACCTTTACGAAAACTCGATTGAAACTCGTTGTGTAAGTTAAATTCTTGTAAATACTCTTGAACTTGTAGGTAGCTCGAGAGCTTTGGATAGAACAGATAAAATGGAAATTGGGCGAAAATCATTTAAACTTGAGGGACTCTTGGATTTAGGTATAGGGACGACATGAGCAACCTTCCAGATTGAAACGAATGAGGATCGTTCAAAGGAGAAGTTAAAAATGTGAGTAATAGGAGTAAGAACAATATCCAATAGAAGAAAAAGAAGTTTGAGACCAACTCCATCAGCTCCCGCACTAGTAGACCTCGAGTCATTCAAGGCATCGCGATCTTCTGACGCTGTGACCAGGACAAAGGAGAAAGAGGCGGATTTAGATGAAGCAAGAATTTCAGTAATAGTAGTCATCCTAGTCTCACCACTAATGAGCAGAGGAGGGTCAGCAAAAAAAAACCGCCAATCAAGCCACATCACAAGTAGCCCGAACAGAGGGAGACTCAACCGCCCCTAAGGAACTCATAAACCTCGAAAACGTCCTCGGATTAGCATTGGATAGTCTCTGGTAGCAATAAAATTTGTTGGCATTCCTATATTGGTGATTGCAACGATTTTAGTTTTCACGATTAATAGTATTTGGAATACGTTTAAATAATAGCTTTGTACGGCTTGTCATAGAGATTGATAAGTTTAGAGTTGAAGTAGTCAACCTTGCCATCAATATTGGCCATTCGATAAACCGGGAGCCAATCCATCCTCTGCGCATCAGACAACAGCAAATCGTTATCAATACGACCCAGGTCACAAACGGAAACAATGCGTTGCAAGGAAATATGTTGTCGCATCTGCACTGCACAGTAAATTAGGTAATGATTGGAAAATTGAGGAGTAGGGAGCTGACCATGCATAAGTATGCTGTTCGGACGAGTCATAGTAGTAAGATCCAGAAGCAAATGCGATGTAGGAAGATGATGAAGCGAATTTGTCACTGCGTAAGTCATTTTTAGCAGACAAGTGTTGAAATCTCCCATCAGAAGAATCGTGTTATAATTAAAACAGTGTCTCTCAAGGGTTTCCTCTAATTGATCAAAGTAGTTAACAAGAGGAGGACAGTAAAAAAGGCCAAGTAATAACTTGTTGTAAGAACTTTTCAGTTCCACAAGCATGAATTCAGCCCCCTGAACTGACCCATCGGAGGATTCGACAATCGTAGCACGCAGGGTATCCCTGATAAATAAAGCCACTCCCCCACCCCGCGAAAACAGACCACCGTTTCGCAAAAGACTACCATTCATTAGGTCATAGCCTACTGATTTCTTTATATTTAGTGTTTGTATTTCATAATACAGTTCATTCATTCGTGCACATGGTATATTACTTTGCTGATCACTTTGAATTATGCTAGGAACACTATTTAGCATAGTTGTTGGACTGTCTGATGTAAAAGTTTCTTTCAGGTAGTCAGCAAACAAATTAACTTTTTCTTGGTTGCTCTTAGCCCAATTTCCATAATTATTTCGAATTGGAGGTATATGTATTTTTGGAACTTTAAGCTTTCTTGTTGCCTTCCACAGAGAATAATCAGTACTGGCATCGTCAGTAAGGTCTTTTAAGTAATTTTGAATATTATTTTGTTTGTGGCTATCTGTTAATGCTCTTAATTCGGCTGTTATTTTATTTAATTTAGTTTTATCACTCTTAGAGAAGACTGATGTTATGATTTATTCAATGAATTGTTACACAATTACAATACATACTTTTTATTACTGCGTAAATGCAAGATTTGTAACTTTTAAGTTTAATAATTTTTTCAGTAATAAAATAGCAAAACCAAATAAATCAGTAACACCTTGTATACACAAATAATCCAATTACTCTAATTAAAAGTTATATCAATTAAAAGATAAGACTGCGTTTTTAAATAACAACAAAACCAATAATCTTTTAAAGGTCATTGATAAAATTTCAAATTAAAAACTTACAAAATGCAATAATTAAAAATCCTAAAGATAAATAACTTTCCATTTTATTATTTTTTTAACTTATAACTTTCAAATTAACTTTAAGTAATCTTAGCACTACATGAACCACTTAAGAAAAAGATTTGGACGAGATACGATCTTGGCTTTAATACCAAATTCCATTCACCCACCAATTTAAAAGGCGGTGTTCGCCACAGAGATTGACCATTTCAACCTGTCGTGATCTCGACTTGGCCTTTTTTCTTTCATCCAATATCGTTCAACATCTTTCTTCATTCAGACCTACTAAATAAATTGCTGTAACAAGAAAAAGTTTCGCTGTATCTATAGGACAAGGTCGTTTTTCAAAACTATGTACTCCTACACTATTAACATTTAAGAAAAAAAAAAAAGTAACGTTTTTTAGAGAAAACTTGAGTACATCTATTGAGAAATCAATTCTTTTCGTGTCGGCACCCGTTATTAAATAAACCTCTTCAAATTTTTACAAATTTAAAATTTTAAAAAAATTTTTTTGACATCTGTCAATTCGACATTTAACTTAACCCAAAAATAAAACTGTCATTATTATAATCTAACTTCATAAGTGTATAACAAAAAATTACCATAATAAATTTTATTGACTAAATAAATATTATCAAGTCTCCACGTTAATGTACAAAAAAACACGTCATGCAATCAATTCAATTAAGTTATTTTAAAAATAATTATAATATCTCCTCCCCGCTTGATGGGCCCAGGAAAAAAACACCAAGCAACAAGATTAGTTCCGTTTATCGGCCGGCGGGGTGAACAGTTGGCAGCGCCGGTGTTGTGTTGTAAACATGCAGAAGATGAACAATTTAAATTATCCAATTTTAGTGTGTATTTTTATGGTTTTGTATGGTGTGGTGAATGGGAGTTTGCTGCACAGGAGATTCGAGTATAAATATTCGTTTAAACCGCCATATTTGGCGCAAAAAGACGGCAGCGTACCGTTTTGGGAGTACGGTGGAAGTAAGTACAAAATTTTGGTACACGTATGTAAAATTGTCGTCTACTCTGAGACATACGTCAGGTATTACTATCTTCGTCGTAACGATGAGATTAGAAAGAGGGCGATAATAACGTACATCCAAAATTGATACGTCATTACCTTCAAATTTTGACACGTATATAACCTCAAAATCCAGATGGTTGCGATGGGATTTTTAACAAATTATGAATGAAAATACTTTTTAAATTGTAATTAATCTTTTGGATTATTGAAATAAACGTTATTTTTCTTTAATTTTTAATAGATGCGATTGCTAGCGCTGAAAATGTGAGAGTAGCTCCTTCATTACGGAGTCAGAAGGGGGCGATTTGGACGAAAAACCCAATTAATTTCGATTATTGGGAGGCGGATATTGCGTTTAGAGTTACTGGAAGAGGAAGGGTCGGTGCTGATGGTTTAGTAAGTATCTAAAAGGATTGTTTATTCTAAAAATTGTTTTAAATCGTAATGAATTAATCATTTTAGGCATTTTGGTACACCCAAAATAAAGGTAGTTACGATGGGGAGGTTTTTGGATCATCGGATAAATGGAATGGATTGGGAATCTTTTTTGATTCTTTCGACAACGATAATAAACACAATAATCCTTACATTATGGCTGTATTGAATGATGGAACTAAAGTTTTTGATCATAAACAGTAAGTTTTTAATTTGAGTTAAATTAAGCTTTAATATATATATTTTTTAATTTTTAGAGATGGCTCAACTCAACTTTTAGCTGGTTGTCTACGAGATTTCAGAAACAAACCCTTCCCTACTCGTGCGAAGATTGAATATGCTCAAAATGTTCTCACATTATTATTCCATAATGGAATGACGAACAATGAGAAGGATTATGAGGTGTGTTTCCGCGCTGAAAACGTTCAACTTCCTAAAAATGGTTTCTTTGGTGTTTCTGCTGCAACTGGAGGTTTAGCAGATGATCATGATGTGATTCATTTCCTTACAACAAGTTTACATTCTCCTGATCAAGCTCCACAAGGAAATAATAGTAAGTATATTAAATCTAGGTTGATAAAAAATGTGATAAGTTTTTAGATTACATGCAGAGATACATTTTTTATTAATTCTTGTTTATCTTGGATCATTTTGGTTGTTTGATTAATGTTTATGGTTGTTTTAATGATTGTTTATCATCTTTTTTTTCATGTTTTTTTTTTGAGATAAAAATTTAATCAGAATATGAATGTATTTCCTATCAGTACCAACAGTCAAGGTAAGTTTAGAGATGGATATCTTCGCAACCATTCCATGAAAAAAATAGCGGTAATATTTGTTGTAACCACTGAACATTTCTACATAACATATTTATTTATTTTCGGCAAAATCAAATATAAGATTTTTTGGTCTTGTAAAATTCCATAGCGATAATTATTAATGGTCCAACACACCTTTTAGTGCCAATTAGTAATGAATCAGTAAGTGATTTTGCGAAAAAATTGTCGATTATTTCAAAAATTTATTTCTCAAGAACTAAAAGTGATTTTTCAAAACGGCTTTTTGCATTAAAACGAGAATACTTTAATTAATAATTGGTGATATTTTCACAAGAAACCTTCAAGAAATAAATTTTATAGCGAATTTTGAAAATTATCGACGAAAATTGCAACATCGAAAATTTTATCAAAACTTCAAATATTGTTTTCTCAAAAACTAAAAGTTATTTTTCAAAACGGGTTGGTTCATTGGAAAGAGGACACTTTTATTAACACTTTGGGAAATTTTCATACTCATATTCCAAGAAATGGATTTTATACGAATTTTTAAAACTTAATCGGCGAAAATTGCAAAATTCGAAAAAATTGTCGATTATTTCAAAAATTTATTTCTCAAGAACTAAAAGTGATTTTTCAAAACGGCTTTTTGCATTAAAAAGAGGATACTTTAATTAATAATTGGTGATATTTCCACAAGGATCCTTCAAGAAATTAATTTTATAGCGAATTTTGAAAATTATCGATGAAAATTGCAACATCGAAAATTTTATCAAAACTTCAAATATTGTTTTCTCAAAAACTAAAAGTTATTTTTCAAAACGGGTTGGTTCATTGGAAAGAGGACACTTTTATTAACACTTTGGGAAATTTTCATACTCATATTCCAAGAAATGGATTTTATACGAATTTTTAAAACTTAATCGGCGAAAATTGCAAAATTCGAAAAAATTGTCGATCATTTCAAAAATTTATTTCTCAAGAACTAAAAGTGATTTTTCAAAACGGCTTTTTGCATTAAAAAGAGGATACTTTAATTAATAATTGGTGATATTTCCACAAGGATCCTTCAAGAAATTAATTTTATAGCGAATTTTGAAAATTATCGATGAAAATTGCAACATCGAAAATTTTATCAAAACTTCAAATATTGTTTTCTCAAAAACTAAAAGTTATTTTTCAAAACGGGTTGGTTCATTGGAAAGAGGACACTTTTATTAACACTTTGGGAAATTTTCATACTCATATTCCAAGAAATGGATTTTATACGAATTTTTAAAACTTAATCGGCGAAAATTGCAAAATTCGAAAAAATTGTCGATCATTTCAAAAATTTATTTCTCAAGAACTAAAAGTGATTTTTCAAAACGGCTTTTTGCATTAAAAAGAGGATACTTTAATTAATAATTGGTGATATTTCCACAAGGATCCTTCAAGAAATTAATTTTATAGCGAATTTTGAAAGTTATCGATGAAAATTGCAACATCGAAAATTTTACCAAAACTTCAAATATTGCTTTCTCAAAAACTGAAAGTTATTTTTGAAAACATGTTGATTCATTGGAAAGAGGACACTGTTATTAACATTTTGGGAAATTTTCATACTCATATTCTAAAAAATCGATTTTGTACGAATTATTAAAATTTTATTGGCGGAAATTGCAAAATTCGAAAAAAATTTCGATTATTTGAAAAGTTTATTTCTCAAGAACTAAAGGTGATTTTTCAAAACGCTTTTTGGTATTAAAAAGAGGATACTTTAATTAATAATTGGTGATATTTCCACAAGGAACCTTCAAGAAATTAATTTTATATCGAATTTTGAAAGTTATCGATGAAAATTGCAACATCGAAAATTTTATCAAAACTTCAAATATTGTTTTCTCAAAAACTAAAAGTTATTTTTCAAGATGGGTTGGTTCATTGGAAAGAGGACACTCTTATTAATACTTTGGGAAATTTTCATACTCATATTCCAAGAATTGGATTTTAAACGAATTTATCAAACTTAATCGGCGGAAATTGCAAAATTCGAAGAAATTGACGAGTATTTCAAAAATTTATTTCTCAAGAACTAAAAGTGATTTTTCAAAACGGCTTGTTGCATTAAAAAGATAATGTTTTAATTAATAATTGGTGATATTTTCACAAGGATCCTTCAAGAAATTAATTTTATAGCGAATTTTGAAAATTATCGACGAAAATTGCAACATCGAAAATTGTATCAAAACTTCAAACATTGTTTTCCCAAAAACTAAAAGTTATTTTTCAAAACATGTTGGTTCATTGGAAAGAGGACACTGTTATTAACATTTTGGGAAATTTTCGTACTCATATTCTAAAAAATCTATTTTATACGAATTATTAAAATTTCGTTGGCGGAAATTGCAAAATTCGAAAAAATTTTCGATTACTTGAAAAGTTTATTTGTCAAGAACTAAAAGTTATTTTTCAAAACGCCTTTTGGCATTAAAAAGAGAATACTTTAATTAATAATTGGTGATATTTCCACAAGGAACCTTCAAGAAATGAATTTTATAGCGAATTTTAAAAATTATCGATGACAATTGCAACATCGAAAATTTTATCAAAACTTCAAATATTGTATTCTCAAAAACTAAAAGTTATTTTTGAAAACATGTTGGTTCATTGGAAAGAGGGCACTGTTATTAATATTTTGGGACATTTTCTTACTCATATTCTAAAAAATCGATTTTATACGAATTATTAAAATTTCATTGGCGGAAATTGCAAAATTCGAAAAAATTTTCGATTATTTCAATTTTATCAAAACTTCAAATATTGTTTTCTCAAAAACTAAAAGTTATTTTTCAAAATGGGTTGGTTCATTGGAAAGAGGACACTCTTATTACTACTTTGGGAAATTTTCATACTCATATTCCAAGAATTGGATTTTAAACGAATTTATAGAACTTAATCGGCGGAGATTGCAAAATTCGAAAAAATTGTCGATTATTTCAAAAATTTATTTCTCAAGAACTAAAAGTGATTTTTCAAAACGCCTTTTGGCATTAAAAAGAGGATACTTTAATTAATAATTGGTGATATTTCCACAAGGAACGTTCAAGAAATGAATTTTATAACGAATTTTGAAAATTGCAACATCGAAAATTTTATCAAAACTTCAAATATTGTATTCTCAAAAACTAAAAGTTATTTTTCAAAATGGGTTGGTTCATTGGAAAGAGGACACTCTTATTAATACTGTGGGAAATTTTCATACTGATATTTCAAGAATTGGATTTTAAACGAATTTATAAAACTTAATCAGCGGAAATAGCAAAATTCGAAAAAATTGTCGATTATTTCAAAAATTTATTTCTCAAGAACTAAAAGTGATTTTTCAAAACGGCTTGTTGCATTAAAAAGAGGATACTTTAATTAATAATTGGTGATATTTCCACAAGGATCCTTCAAGAAATTAATTTTATAGCGAATTTTGAAAATTATCGATGAAAATTGCAACATCGAAAATTTTATCAAAACTTCAAATATTGTTTTCTCAAAAACTAAAAGTTATTTTTCAAAACGGGTTGGTTCATTGGAAAGAGGACACTTTTATTAACACTTTGGGAAATTTTCATACTCATATTCCAAGAAATGGATTTTATACGAATTTTTAAAACTTAATCGGCGAAAATTGCAAAATTCGAAAAAATTGTCGATCATTTCAAAAATTTATTTCTCAAGAACTAAAAGTGATTTTTCAAAACGGCTTTTTGCATTAAAAAGAGGATACTTTAATTAATAATTGGTGATATTTCCACAAGGATCCTTCAAGAAATTAATTTTATAGCGAATTTTGAAAATTATCGATGAAAATTGCAACATCGAAAATTTTATCAAAACTTCAAATATTGTTTTCTCAAAAACTAAAAGTTATTTTTCAAAACGGGTTGGTTCATTGGAAAGAGGACACTTTTATTAACACTTTGGGAAATTTTCATACTCATATTCCAAGAAATGGATTTTATACGAATTTTTAAAACTTAATCGGCGAAAATTGCAAAATTCGAAAAAATTGTCGATCATTTCAAAAATTTATTTCTCAAGAACTAAAAGTGATTTTTCAAAACGGCTTTTTGCATTAAAAAGAGGATACTTTAATTAATAATTGGTGATATTTCCACAAGGATCCTTCAAGAAATTAATTTTATAGCGAATTTTGAAAATTATCGATGAAAATTGCAACATCGAAAATTTTATCAAAACTTCAAATATTGTTTTCTCAAAAACTAAAAGTTATTTTTCAAAACGGGTTGGTTCATTGGAAAGAGGACACTTTTATTAACACTTTGGGAAATTTTCATACTCATATTCCAAGAAATGGATTTTATACGAATTTTTAAAACTTAATCGGCGAAAATTGCAAAATTCGAAAAAATTGTCGATCATTTCAAAAATTTATTTCTCAAGAACTAAAAGTGATTTTTCAAAACGGCTTTTTGCATTAAAAAGAGGATACTTTAATTAATAATTGGTGATATTTCCACAAGGATCCTTCAAGAAATTAATTTTATAGCGAATTTTGAAAATTATCGATGAAAATTGCAACATCGAAAATTTTATCAAAACTTCAAATATTGTTTTCTCAAAAACTAAAAGTTATTTTTCAAAACGGGTTGGTTCATTGGAAAGAGGACACTTTTATTAACACTTTGGGAAATTTTCATACTCATATTCCAAGAAATGGATTTTATACGAATTTTTAAAACTTAATCGGCGAAAATTGCAAAATTCGAAAAAATTGTCGATCATTTCAAAAATTTATTTCTCAAGAACTAAAAGTGATTTTTCAAAACGGCTTTTTGCATTAAAAAGAGGATACTTTAATTAATAATTGGTGATATTTCCACAAGGATCCTTCAAGAAATTAATTTTATAGCGAATTTTGAAAATTATCGATGAAAATTGCAACATCGAAAATTTTATCAAAACTTCAAATATTGTTTTCTCAAAAACTAAAAGTTATTTTTCAAAACGGGTTGGTTCATTGGAAAGAGGACACTTTTATTAACACTTTGGGAAATTTTCATACTCATATTCCAAGAAATGGATTTTATACGAATTTTTAAAACTTAATCGGCGAAAATTGCAAAATTCGAAAAAATTGTCGATCATTTCAAAAATTTATTTCTCAAGAACTAAAAGTGATTTTTCAAAACGGCTTTTTGCATTAAAAAGAGGATACTTTAATTAATAATTGGTGATATTTCCACAAGGATCCTTCAAGAAATTAATTTTATAGCGAATTTTGAAAATTATCGATGAAAATTGCAACATCGAAAATTTTATCAAAACTTCAAATATTGTTTTCTCAAAAACTAAAAGTTATTTTTCAAAACGGGTTGGTTCATTGGAAAGAGGACACTTTTATTAACACTTTGGGAAATTTTCATACTCATATTCCAAGAAATGGATTTTATACGAATTTTTAAAACTTAATCGGCGAAAATTGCAAAATTCGAAAAAATTGTCGATCATTTCAAAAATTTATTTCTCAAGAACTAAAAGTGATTTTTCAAAACGGCTTTTTGCATTAAAAAGAGGATACTTTAATTAATAATTGGTGATATTTCCACAAGGATCCTTCAAGAAATTAATTTTATAGCGAATTTTGAAAATTATCGATGAAAATTGCAACATCGAAAATTTTATCAAAACTTCAAATATTGTTTTCTCAAAAACTAAAAGTTATTTTTCAAAACGGGTTGGTTCATTGGAAAGAGGACACTTTTATTAACACTTTGGGAAATTTTCATACTCATATTCCAAGAAATGGATTTTATACGAATTTTTAAAACTTAATCGGCGAAAATTGCAAAATTCGAAAAAATTGTCGATCATTTCAAAAATTTATTTCTCAAGAACTAAAAGTGATTTTTCAAAACGGCTTTTTGCATTAAAAAGAGGATACTTTAATTAATAATTGGTGATATTTCCACAAGGATCCTTCAAGAAATTAATTTTATAGCGAATTTTGAAAATTATCGATGAAAATTGCAACATCGAAAATTTTATCAAAACTTCAAATATTGTTTTCTCAAAAACTAAAAGTTATTTTTCAAAACGGGTTGGTTCATTGGAAAGAGGACACTTTTATTAACACTTTGGGAAATTTTCATACTCATATTCCAAGAAATGGATTTTATACGAATTTTTAAAACTTAATCGGCGAAAATTGCAAAATTCGAAAAAATTGTCGATCATTTCAAAAATTTATTTCTCAAGAACTAAAAGTGATTTTTCAAAACGGCTTTTTGCATTAAAAAGAGGATACTTTAATTAATAATTGGTGATATTTCCACAAGGATCCTTCAAGAAATTAATTTTATAGCGAATTTTGAAAATTATCGATGAAAATTGCAACATCGAAAATTTTATCAAAACTTCAAATATTGTTTTCTCAAAAACTAAAAGTTATTTTTCAAAACGGGTTGGTTCATTGGAAAGAGGACACTTTTATTAACACTTTGGGAAATTTTCATACTCATATTCCAAGAAATGGATTTTATACGAATTTTTAAAACTTAATCGGCGAAAATTGCAAAATTCGAAAAAATTGTCGATCATTTCAAAAATTTATTTCTCAAGAACTAAAAGTGATTTTTCAAAACGGCTTTTTGCATTAAAAAGAGGATACTTTAATTAATAATTGGTGATATTTTCACAAGGATCCTTCAAGAAATTAATTTTATAGCGAATTTTGAAAGTTATCGATGAAAATTGCAACATCGAAAATTTTATCAAAACTTCAAATATTGTTTTCTCAAAAACTAAAAGTTATTTTTCCGAACGTGTTGGTTCATTGGAAAGAGGACACTTTTATTAACCACCTTTTATTGATTTTTGTTTCAACCAACCGTGTGCGAAACGACGGTGACGTCTCCAAAGTTTTTTCAAATTTTAATTTTTTTCTTTTTTGAAAAACTAAATAAACTTGTAATAAAAAATAAACTTGGAAAAATTTGCATAAAGGTTATTTTAAAGGAGCCTTGACTTTTGGTACGGATAGTAGTGCACAAAAAACTGTTTTATTAAAAATATATTACATTTAATTATATTTCAGTACCTGGTGAAGACACTCAAAAATTAACCCAAGAATACCAAGAATATCAACAAAAATTAGAGCAACAAAAAGCTGATTATAAAAAGGATCATCCAGACGCGGAAGATCCTAATTTTGATGAATGGTACGAAAGTGACAACCAAAGAGAAATGCGTTTAATCTTCCAAAGTCAATCTCAAATGTTTGACACTATCCGCGATTTAAGTAGAAAACTAGATGAAGTTATCGGTAGACAAGAAAGAACTTTAAGTTTAATTTCCAATCAACAATTAGCTCCGGGTCAAGCACCCCCACCACCCCAACAAGGGGGTCAAGTTCCACCACAACAAGGCTATATCGATACAATACGTAGACATGAAGTTGATACTGTGATTAATAATCAAAATATTATTAGTAATGCAGTTAGGGAAATAAGACAATTTGTGTTGGAAGTCAAACAACGTTCAGATACGATTATAAATAATCAAGCAAAACAACCGACGGCCCAAGTACAATCTGTCGGTTATGATACACAATCCTTAGTTTCGGAAATGAGAGATGGTTTAAATAATTTGAAACAAAGTTATGGAAATGTTGTCCAAAAATTATCAGAGAAACCGAATTGTCCAACTAATACGTGTGTTAGTGTAACAATGTTGCTTGTTATTACATTAACGCAACTAGTCGTTATTATGGGATATATGTTGTATAGGTAAGAAATAAATTTTCATTGAATAAAATTAGAAAAAATAATTAAATTTGTTTCTAATCGTCATTTTAGGGATAATAAAGACAGTCAAGCAAAGAAATTCTATTAAGTGTTTAAGGAATTGGTAGAATGTGTGAATATGCTCCATGTAAATCATGTAATGTTCATTGAAATCAATCAATTGGTTAGTGATTGTTCATCATCGTACTGAAATTTTTTAGGTTCTATGTCTTCCGCTAAGTTTACCTAATCTATGTATTTTTTTCAAAGTCATCCATACTTAAGTGTTTTTCCTTCTTTTTGTATGATAATATTGTACAAACTTCATAATAATAACGTATTCTTTTGTTAAAAATTTAGTTTATTATGATTTTTTTTTCTGCTTCCTTTTATACCTAATTCAATATTAAATCAATAATGTAAAATATTTATCAATTTATCTGATCTAATTTATTTATCACAAATGTCGAACAAAACTTACAATTAATTCTAAACAAATTAAACGAGCAAGCAATTTTAATTAAAAACCTTAACAAAATATTAAATAAGTTAGAATATAGCAAGTTAGGAGCTATCAATAAATCTAGAAATTGCCGGGAAGTTGATAATTTTGAACTAGAATGCGAAAAAATTGTTAAAACATCAACAGGGAGTACAAGCGAAACTCATTTCACAAACAAATCCTACATTAAGTTCAAAGGCCGCACAGTTTATTACTTACTAGGGTGGGAAAAATCATAATTTTCTTAACTTTGGTTTTGATTTTTTTTTACCTCTTATTCAGTGCTTTTATACTCATAACTTGGTCGGACGATTAAAAACGTGTGGCAGAAAAAACATGGAACTATTACATAGAAAACAAGAATTAGGAAATATCGGTTTGTAAAAATTGTAAAAAAGATTTGTAAGGACTGATAAAAAGATTAAAGCACTGCTATGAGAAGTGCAAAAAGACATTTAACTACTTAAAGACAAACAACTCGTATACTCGAGTATACTCGTTATTTGTAACTCGGGCGAATCTAAATTTTGGTTCCGTTTGGTTTAACACGTTGACTGCCACGACAATTTTGAGGATTCCGGTCCAAAAAGACAAATTAATTTTATTATGTTATACTGTTATAAACTCTAAATTAGGGTTAATATAAATAATCAAAAAGCGTAGGGAATGTGTTTTTTAGAAAATAACGATCATACGAATTATCTCGTAGTTGGCTTCTGTTACAAAAAACTCTTCGCAGAAGCCAACTACGAGTTAATTCGTACATACCAAACACGTTTCGACTTGTCGCTTGATGCGTCTAACTTCGTCAGTAGAAAATCAGNTATAAACTAGCATGGGCTTAACCACGTGATCACCTGAGGCGTTACTGCACATAAGTAGTGTTAGTCTATCTTTTGCTACCTTAAAACCCGGTGCAGTTTTTTCATTTTTTGAAATAAACGTTCTTTTGGGCATTTTGTTCCACCAAATGCCGGTTTCATCTGCTTTAAATACCTGATGTGGTGTATATCCACCCTGTTGAATAATTTTTTCCAACTCTTTCGGATACTTTTTAGCAGCTTCACTATCAGCAGATGCGCTCTCTCTTTGTATTTTCAGGTTTTGCAATGAAAAACGTTTTTTAAAACGGTCGAACCAACCTTTACTGGCAACAAAATCGGGATCAGTAGCAGATTCTCCACTTTCTATTAAAAAGTTGTAGATTTTTAAGGCTTTATTTTTAATAATATTTGTGTCTAGTGGCATTCGTTTATTCGAGCAATCGTCAATCCAAACACTAAGAGCTTTTTCCATTTTTCAAGAATTGATGCTCTACGACGATCTGTCATATTTGCGGAGACGGAACATCCTGTAGTAACGGAAGATCTAATTTTTTGTTCATTTTTCTGTATAGTACGTATTGTAGCTTCATTGAAATTTAGGGTTTTAGCAACGTATGATATCTTCTCCCCCTTTTTAAGGCGATCCAAAATCTGAATTTATTTGTTCATTTGTTCTAATGAAATGAAATGTCTTTTAAGAGCTGTTTTTTTCTTTATAGTAAACATTGTTCGAAGCTAGAAAAAATAATATTTAATATTTTTCAAAGTTTCAATAACAATACATACGCAATTTTACTTTCTATTACATATATGTAATATATAAAAATAAAATTATCAAACTTCTAGATGCACAAAGCTAACACAACTGACACGCTCGAATGAGAAATATCACATAACGAAATAATAGGGGATTTCCCTATAGTTGAAGTAAAAATACCGTGTTATATGTACAGGGATCTCCATTACTTCTCGAACCGCGTTATAGCGAAACCGTGTTGTAAGAAACCGTGTTTTACGGGGGTTACCTGTAATTTCTGTTTATTTCTCAAGAACTAAAGGTGATTTTTCAAAACGCTTTTTGGTATTAAAAAGAGGATACTTTAATTAATAATTGGTGATATTTCCACAAGGAACCTTCAAGAAATTAATTTTATATCGAATTTTGAAAGTTATCGATGAAAATTGCAACATCGAAAATTTTATCAAAACTTCAAATATTGTTTTCTCAAAAACTAAAAGTTATTTTTCAAAACG